TTATGGACTGGATCATTATTATTACCAGCTTTCCCCAGTCTCAGTTTTTCAGAGCACAGAGGGGAAACGTGGCAGGGCTGTGTCATTTTGGATTCCCTTTGTTTAGATACCAAGGAATTACCTATTTAGGGTGAGGTCTGATGTTTAATCAGGGCATTTTGTGCTCAGCTGGGAGAGAGCTGTGGACAGCTGTCCCCAGTGTCCCTGTGATGAGCTCCCGAGGGGATGGAGCATCCCTGTGCTCCCTGTCCCACACCTCTTTTAGGGATTCAAGAGCTGGAAATTCAGGATGCTTTTACTTCTTAGATTAGTAGCCCAAATCACAGCAGCTTATATGCTAATACCCTAAAGCAGGCTGGGCATAGGGGCATGTTTGTGGTGGTTTTTTGTTTTTAGACAAGAAATAGGAGTCAGAAAGGCAATGAGGTGACACAAATAACAACTGATTTTTGATTTCCCTTTGGTCCCCACTGTCCAGCAGTAGAGGACACTGTGACTTATCCCTTAAACCCACTGATGGCATCAAACTATAGGTAGGTCTGACCCTCCCTCACAAACCTCTCGTTATGGTGGTTTTTAACAAGGAAAGGTGGGGGTAAATGATGGGAGGGTTTGGTGCTGAGTGAGGGGAGGGTTTGGTTGCTTGGGAAGTGTCAGTGTGTAAGGGAAGGGGATCCTCTGGGATCACGGTACTTGGTGTGAAGAAATGGGACCATTGGAGCCTCTCATGAACGTGTCCTGAGGAGCGGGTTTGTCCCAGGGACACCGTGGGGACATCACCGGGGTCGTGGGCTCGGGTTTTCTGTGCCAAGCCCCCAGAGATGAGGTCCCTGCTGCAGGCAGAGCTCGCTGCTTGTCCCTTATTCTTTAGGCTTTGCTGCCACCAGCTGGAACAATTAATTTTTGCCACAAACTGGTTTCAAGGTTTGGGTTTTGCTCTCCCAGCCTGTGCCAGACTGGGCTAGCCCAGAGTTTATCCCCCATGGGCACTTCCAGTCTGGGAGAGTCTTGGGGGCAGAGGGTGCAGCACTGAGTGTGGGCTGCAGGATGAACCATCATTGTGCCCTCGACCACTCTGGGCCTTTGGGACGGAGCTCAGCTGGAATTCCCCTCCGGAGATTTTTTTTGTCCCTGTTCCTTGTGTTATCTGCTCTTATCTGTGATTTCAGTGCTGAGAAATGACATGAGAAGTGAGCTGCAGCTTTTTCAGTGTGGGGAAGGGCTTCTCCATCTCAAATTTGATGGTCTTGTAGTCTGGTGAGCAAGAGACACAGCCCAGCCCTCACTGCACCCACAGCCCGTGAGCTTGGCCAGCACCGTGGGGAGAGACTGATGGTCCTGCTTGAAGGGCTCAGTTGTCACATGCACAGAAAATAAGACTAGGCATGATTTCAAGAAGTCACCCCAACGCTTTCTCTTCCTGTTAACAGCAGAAGGACGTGAATCAAACTGATTTCAAGCTTCGCGTGGTTAAACCGACGTCATGGCGCTTCCGCTGCTGCAGCTGCCACAGACACCCCACACCAGCCCCTGGTGTACCCCTTAGGTAAGCTCAGGGCAAGGGCCAGTCTGTGCCTGCAGCTTGGCAGCTCTCCAGAGGGTTTTCCAGGCACACTCTGACGTGGCTGGGAAGTGAAGCTCAGCAGGAATTAAGGAACTGGTTCCGTGTGGAGTTTGTGCGCAGGCTGGTGAGGTGTCATGGTGGGGTTTGGATGATCCACACACTGCTGTGCTCACAGAGCTCTCTGCAGGCTTTGCTTGTGAGGATGGGGCCTTCAGGCACACGTCCACACCAGCCTGAAGTAAATCCTGACATTGGGAGCTGGTGCTGGTCAAGGTGAAGTGTGGGTGTGTCTGAGCCAGAGAGGGAGCAGGAATGTGAGCAGCCCCACTCTGCCCTGTGCAGGCACTGGAGGGTGCCCTGAGCACTCTGCATCCTGCATCCCACCCTGAATGCCCCATCCCACTCTGCCTCCCACATCCTGTCCTGCATCCTGCATCCCATGTACCACCCTGCATCCCATCCTCCTTCTCACATCCTGCCTTGCATCCCACATCCCACCCTGTCTTTACGTTCCACCCTGCATCCTGCTCTGCGTCCCACATCCCATCCTGCATCCCATATCCTGTCCTGCACCTCACATCATACCCTGCACCCTGCTCTGCATCCTGCATCCCACATCCCTCCCTGCATCCTGCATCCCCCTCTGCATCCCACATCCCTCCCTGCGTCCCACATCCCTGCCAGGGCATCCAAAGAGGACAGTGACACCAACATCCCACTGGGTGATGCTGTGTCCGTGCTAGGGCCGAGCTAGCACAGATATCAAGGGCTGGATTCTCACTCTGGACACGGATCCCGATCCCACTCTGCTTCCCAAATCCGGTGGTGGCCTGTGCTCAGCGCCTTTTGGCGTTCCCGGAGCCCATCCCGGCCCCATTTGCCCCCCGGAGGAGCCCAGCACGCCCGGGGATGGCTGATAACACTGGGAATTTTTTTCTTCTCGAGCAGGAAGCCCAAGCATTTCCTCCTCCAGCGCTGCCTCTGGTTGCCGAGCGGGTTTTGCAATCCGTAGGTTTCAGTTCCCGGGGTGGGGAGGTGCCTCTCGCCGCTCCGCTCTTGTTTGCTCGTAATTTTTTTTTTTTTTTTGCATCTGTCAGAGACTGGTTTTTTTCTCTGCCAGCCCCGACAGGTCCCGGCCGGGTGGTTTTTGGCAGCGCTCGCGGCTCGGTCCATGCGCAGCCTTCGCGTGGTGCTGCCGGCGAGGTTGGAGCTGCCCAGGGGAACATCCTTGGCCGGCGCTTCCCTGCGCGTTGCCAGGCAAGGACGGCTCAAAGGCTGGGATTTGGTGGCCAGCGGCCCCCGGGGTGACCCCCGTGCTTCCCGCTGGAGATGCAGAGCACCCCCAACTACCTCTGGAGCACCGACGACCTCCTGGGCCAGGGAGCCACAGCCTGTGTCTACAAAGCTCGCAACAAGGTGAGCGGGGCCAGTGGTGGGGGCAGGAACCCCAAAGCCACGCAGCCCCCGTGCCCCCCATCCCTCCTGCCCGTGGCACAGGGATGCTCCTGCTCCCCTCCGCTCGCCCTCCCGGGAGATCCCCGGCTGGGGAGCAGCCCGGGGGCTGCTCTGGGTTTTGTTTTCATTTTCTGTGTGGCTCCTTCCCCTGGCTCTGCGGGTGGAGGGCGGTTTTTGGGGTGCTCGCAGCCGGGTCCTGCTCGGCGGCCGCCGGATTCCCGAGCAGCGCCAAGGGGGAAGGAGCTGTTTTCCGGGGAATGCCCAGAGGTTTTGAAAACCCCATCCCTGGCTATTTGCATACTTCATGCAAACACTTGCCAGGCTTGGAACAGACTCTTCTCCTCACCAGCCTTTGAAGTTTATTGAGCAAGCTGCAGGCGCAGGGCAGGAGAGGCGGCTGCAGGGCTGGTTTGGGAACATCCCCATCCCATGGAGAGCCGACAGGGAGCTGCCAGCCCCGGCTCCAGCTGGGAACTTTTTATGGAGCTGAATAAACACGCTGACATGCAGCACGTGGGTGCAGGGACAGGAAGCAAAGGGAGGTGAATAACAGCAGTTTGCTTGTGCAGCGGGAGCAAACGCGGTGTAGAATCAGCGTCATTTGCATCCCAGGCGGGATGTGGGATCAGTAACGGAGCTCCTTTGGATGAGAACGGCATCACCTCCCATTTCCTTTTTCTCTTTTTCCTCTTCTCCCAGAAATCAGGGGAGCTGGTTGCTGTGAAGGTCTTCAACAATGCCAGCTACCTCCGGCCCCAGGAGGTCCAGATGAGAGAGTTCGAGATGCTGCGGAAGCTGAACCACAAAAACATTGTCAGACTGTTTGCCGTGGAGGAGACAGTAAGTGGGACCCCACCTGGGAACCCCTCAGCTGGGAATCCTGCTGTGCCCACCGGGCCAGCGCCACAGGGGTGTGGTCTGAGCTGCAGGAGAGCAGTGATGGTCCCGCTCTGCCACCTCCTCTCACCTCCCTCTGTCTCAGCCCAGCCCATCAGCACTGGGAGCACTGGTGGCACTGGGTCACTGTGCTGGAGCATGGATGTGACCTGCTGTTGTCCCCTGGCCAGGCACTTGGCACAGTGGGGACGTTCTCCAGCACTGGTTTGGCCAAGCAGAGAAACCCAGGGATCCACCAACTGAGGGAGGGGATCTGGTCCTGCCTGGGTGGGGGGGACAGGCCCACAGCTGGGACACAGGGCCAGCCGAGCCCTCACAGCATCTCCCACCACAGGGCAGCAGCAAGCAGAAGGTGCTGGTGATGGAGTACTGCTCCAGTGGCAGTTTGCTGAACGTGCTGGAGGACCCAGCGAACGCCTTCGGCTTGGCCGAGTCCGAGTTCCTCATCGTGCTGCAGTGTGTGGGTGAGTGGGGAGGTCCGGGACCACCAGCCCCCTGCCACCACCACCAGCACCCCAGGACTGAGACCCTGCAGGCTGGGGACCTCGTGGTGCTGGTGGGACCCTGCAGAAACCAGTCGTGGGGTTTGGAATGAGGGGTCAGGAATTGCTCCTCTGAACGGGGTGAGGTTGAGCTCTGCGCCCACGGGGCTGAGGGTTTCTCCTTGCAGACCTGCCCTGGGAAGCAGCTGTGGGAACAGGCTGTGCCCCACGATGGAGGAGCACAAGGGCAGTGCCCTACCCTGTGCTCACCCCTCTTCTCCATCCCCACACTCACGCTGGTCCCCACTTCAGAGCAGCCACCCCGGGGTTTGTCCCCTTCCCAGCCCTTCTCACGTTCCTAAACCTGAGCAAAGCCTGCTGGAGCCCAGTGCCCCAGCCCCACGCACAAACTTCCCCATGTGCCCAGTGGCAGGGATGAACCACCTCCGTGAGAACGGCGTCGTCCACAGAGACATCAAACCCGGCAACATCATGCGGCTGGTGGGGGAGGACGGGCAGAGCATCTACAAACTGACCGATTTCGGGGCCGCCCGAGAGCTGGAGGACGACGAGAAGTTCGTGTCTGTCTACGGGACGGAGGAATATCTCGTGAGTAGAGCCTGCCCCAGTCTGGTGGCCCCCTGGGGGAGGCTGGTGCCCATCCCTCAATCCGACAGCTGGGCGACTCTCAGGGAGCAGCAGAGACATGGAGAGCCTGATTTCATATTTTTGAAAGAGGGGGAGGGCTCAGCGTTTTTGTTGCAGAGTTACAGGTGATGGGTTTTTTTGGGGGAGGGGGGGATCCAGTGCTGCTGTGCTTCACCCCCCAGCACCCCGACATGTACGAGCGGGCCGTCCTGCGCAAGCCGCAGCAGAAGGCGTACGGCGTCACCGTCGACCTCTGGAGCATCGGTGTCACCTTCTACCACGCTGCCACCGGCAGCCTCCCCTTCGTCCCCTTCGGGGGGCCCCGCAGGAACAAGGAGATCATGTAGGTACCGCGCCCAGCTGCAGCGTGGGGGAGGTGGGACCATGGCCGGTGGCCCCCGTGGGGTTCTGTGATGCACTTTACCGCTTGTTTAATCCCCACGTGGCCTCAAAGCCCTGACACGCACCTGGAATTCACCTGTGAAGTGTGTGGTGCTGTGTGGGAAAGAATCTGTGCCACGTTTGCCGTGTTTTCCGTCCAAATGGGATGGTTGGATGGGGCTCTGAGCAGGCTGATCTGGTGGGTGGCGTCTCGTGGGTTGGAACCAGATGGTCTTTAAGGTCCTTTCCAATCCAAATCATGCTGTGACTCTATTATTCTATAAAATGCATTCCCGTGACTTTGTGGCTCAACAGCTGGAAGAGGAGGCATGGTTAACGTCTTCTTGGAAGTTGCGGCTGTTTCTTGCAGCATTTTCCCTCTGGGCATTTTTTTTCTCTCTGTGAATTATCTTTTTCCCAGCCCATCCATGCTCTGCCCTTTTCCTACCCGAGGGACACCCAAAACAGAGATCACCTGGCTCATCTCAGCAGCAATTCCCTTTCCACAGGTACAAAATCACCACTGAGAAGCCTCCTGGAGCCATTGCAGGGATCCAGAGGCAGGAGAACGGGAACATCGAGTGGAGTTACGAGCTGCCCATCACCTGCCGCCTCTCCGTGTGAGTGTCCCGTGACGGGGTGGGGTCCCACCACAGTTCCCACATCAGACAGCACAGGGGGGTTTAACGAGGCAGATAAGCTTTTCATCTGCAAGTGTCACAGCTCTTAAACTGCGTTTTTACTCCACAGCCAGGAAAAGGGGGTGCAAGGCAGGGCGAGCTCAGTACAGGATCTCCCGTCCCTGTAGGTCAGGGTTACACCACTCTGTGCAAACATCTCTTCTGCTGTTGCAGGGGGCTGAAGGACCAGCTGATCCCCATTTTGGCTAACATCCTGGAGGCAGATCAGGAGAAATGCTGGGGATTCAACCAGTTTTTTGCAGGAACAAACGACATTTTGCACAGGATCGTGGTGGACGTGTTCTCCCTGCAGCAGGCTTCCTCCCACCGCATCTACATCCACTCCTACCACACGTAAGGCTGTGTTAAAAGCAAATTTGGGAATCAGGCTCGAGAGCCTCAGCCCCTCATTTCACTAGGTGAACCTTGGGGCAGTGCCTGTTCCCCTTGCACCACACCTAAGCCAGGTTAAAGCAAACCAGGTTCAATCCAGCCTTTGCTGGGAGCACACAGAGAACTCCAGGGAGGTGTCCAAGGGGCTCTGCTGACCTTGTGGGATATTTTGCTAAGAGAAAATATCAACATTTTGGTGTTTTGAGGACAGCAGGCTGCTAAAGTGATGGAAATCTGAGCTTGTGACCACCCTCTCATTCCTTTTCCATTGCAGTACCACCACGTTTTTAGACGCCGTCTTCAAACAAACAAACATAGTCCCTCACCATCAAGAATACTTTTTTGAAGGACACCTGTATGAGCTGGATCCCAATCTCCAAGCTCACAGTTTCTGCAAAACCACAGAGCGCAGCCCCCTGACCTTGCTGAGCACAGCTGAGCACCCCGAGGACGTGGTGGGGGTCCGGTACAGAGACCGTGAGTACCAGAGCTGGAGATGCTCATGGCACGAGGGTGGGTGTTGTGAGAGGGATTTGCTCCAGTTATTATCCCAGGAGCTTTCCCATCCCTTTTCCCTGTCTGGGTGATGGGCCCATGTCCTGGATGATCCCAGGTTTCAGTGCCTGAGCAATGTTGGACCCTGAGATGTCCCAAAGACACTCCCAAAGCCCCCTGACCGCCGTCTGTCTTTCCAGCGGCACTTGAGTTCCCAAAGTTCGTCCCCAAGGTGGACGTGGTGGCCGACTGCAGTGCAGCCAAGGTATGTGGGAGTGCCCAGGGGGCTCGGGGTGGGGCAGGGGGTGCAGCCTCAGGCCACTTTTCCAGTGCCCTTTGCTTTGCAGAGCGCGGTGGGTGCCGCACACCAGACCCTGCGCATCGGGCAGGCCCTGCGGCGCTGCCGGGAGCTGCTGGCCAGGGGCCTCCACTGGGTGATGTGAGTGACAGAGACACCCTAGGGGGGGTGGCAGAAGGTGGGACATGTCCCTTTCCGGGTGTTCAGTTAAACCACTTGGGGTTTTCCGTCTTCTTCAGCCAGTGAGGGACCACCGGGGAGGTGGGACGGGGTCCTGGGGTACCGGGAGGAAGCAGAACACAAAGACCAGGATGGGCCCACACAGGGGACATGAGTGCCAGGCTGCACCTGTAGGAAAACACCCTTCAGTGTTGTGAGGATGCCCCTGTCCCCACTTGTTAGTTTTGAGTTGCTTTTTTTCAGTTTAGGAGATGCTGAGGGAAAAGCATCGTTATTATTATCATCATTATTATCATCATCATTATTATTCCCATGATCATCACTGTTCATATCACTGTGGAAGGTGTATCTGCCCATGGCAGGGGGTTTTGACAGAAGCCACCGGCTCCCTGCTCACCCCCACCGCATGCAGCTGGCCCTGGGATGGAGTTCCTGATTCCAGGCAGCACGTGTTGGACAGGCTGTTTTCTCTCTTGGCAGAGGGGACCTGAAAACAGAGTGCTTGAGGATTTTGGAGCAGAGGAGGGGGGCTCTCTCAGTGCTCACCTGCCTGCAGCTCACCGAGGTGAAGACCCGTGTGCTGTAAGTGTGGCCTAACTAAGGGTTAGTCCTGGTTGTGGCTCTTGCTCCGGGTTTTTCTGACTGTTACATCCCATGAGCTGTGAGTCAGAGCAGGAATGGGACAGGGTTGCTGCTGCTCCAGCTTGAGGGAAAGGGAAAAAAGAGCTGAACCCATTTAAAAGCAACCCAAGGATATTTTGCTTTTCTCTTTTGTTGTAGTTGTAGTGGAAAATTCTTTGCTGCTGGGTAGCTGTTCTTTTATCCTCTGCCATTTAGCAAGTCGCTTAATTTCCATTTCATCTCAAAAAGGAAAAAAAAAAAGAAAAGTAAAAAATAGGGACACATGGTTCCCATCGAGTTCAGCAGGATTAGAGCAGGGCTGTAGTGCCAAGAGCAGTAATGCTGCAGCTGGATGCTCTGGCTCATCCCTCCCTTCCAACATGCTCTGGATCAGGGGTATTTCTGCTGACTTAGCCAGCGTGCCGTGCTCAGCTCAGCCCTCCCGTGCCAGCTGCAGGGAGCCAGACGGCGTCTGCTCTGGCCCAAAGCCAGTGGGTATGAAACCAACAATGTTTGGAACAAATTGGACACAAGGGGGTGAGTTTTTTACCAGATCAGCACTTTGCATCTCGTGGCTCAGATCTGTTTCCCTTTGGGCATAGCTCGGGTGAGTTATTGCCCGAGGAACGCATCTCCCAGCTCCACAGGAACCCAGCTCCGGCTCCACCGTGGGATGGGATCTCTTTGCCCAGGTGGTGGCTGCCTCTGGCTCGTGTTCCACTTCAGGAATATTCATTTTCTGGCTTTCCTCAGGTACGAGTCTGTTCCTGCAGGCAGTGGGGTGCCAGCTGTGATGGACATGGCCATGGTGAAGACAAGGCTGCAGAGGGTGAGCATCCCCCGGGTGGAGGAGCATCCACATCTTCCAGAGCTGCTGGTCCCAACCTCTCCTCCTCATCCACAGGTCTCAGAGGAGCTCTCTCAGTGCTCCCACAACATCTTTGACTTCCAAAGGGCTCTGGATGGGATTTTGTCCGAGCTGGTGAAGGACAGGCAGCAAGTGCTTGAAGATAAAAGGTTTGTGGTGAAATCCCTGGTGACACTTTGCTGTTCCCCATGCGCAGCCCTCACTGCAAACATCACACTGATGCAGTGTGATGTCCCTGCACACAGACATGGGGGAGCAGCAGTGGCTCTGAGTTCAGATTTCACCCCAAAGTGCTGATTTCACCCCAAACTCACACCCTTCCTCTCGGGGGGGCCTCACGCCTCCCTCCCTGCCCCATTCCAGCATCCAGCAGATTGAGTGCTGCCTGGAGAAGATGCAGCTGATCTACAAGCAGTTCAGGAAGGCCAGGACGTGTCTGAGTGAGTGATGGGGATGGGGGACACGAGGTGTGGGGCTGCACTGGGTGATTTCAGTTTGCTGGGTTTAATTTATTTCATAGAATCGTCGAACCACAGGCTGGTTTGGGCTGGAAGGGACTTTATAGATCATCTGTTTCTGTGCCATCACAGTGGCCCCAGGGGCTGAGCCCTAAAAATCCCCTTGGGTGATTTCTGTGGGTTGTGAAATTGCCCATTTATTGGGTTGTGAACAGGAAAATATGTGGTGAGTGGTGACCTGTGTCTTTCCTCCCCAGGGCTGTGCTACAATGAGGAACAAATCCACAAGCTGGATAAGTGAGTCCCAACCCTCTCCCCTTTCCAGGACCTGGCCCTTGCTGTGTCCAGCCTCACGTTTGGTGGTTCTGATTAAATCCCAAAGGGATATAAAATGTTCCCTGGTCACCAGTGTTGCCAGAGGGCACCTGTAAGAGGTTCCTGTGATGGTTCATCCATGCAGGACCTTTCACAGGGCAGTTTTCAAGACATGAACTATTTCAGATGAAAATGTCAGAGAGCCTTTGGGGACAGGGAGCTGCTGTTGGGCCAAATCCCTGTGTTGGATGTGGGAATAAGGACATTCCAGACTGTTGCTCACACAGGACTTAGTTTGGGGTTATTTATTACTGAGATGCTGATTTAGGAAGTGTCCCTGCTTTCATATCTGCTTAAGTTCCACTGGGAGTGAAGTGCCTGATGGGTTTTGTACCTTTAAAAATCCTCCTTTCTGTTTCCACTGAAACCAGGGGAATTTAACACAGGCAAGAAATAAAAATGCCCGTTTCAGTAGATACTGGGAAGGGTGAAATTTCACAGGCAGCTCCTTTAACTCAATTAATCTTCAGTCTAACACTGAATTTTGCCTTAAATTCTAAAGCAAAGACTACTCAGAAGTGCCCTGGAGGGGATGGCAGCCCAGCTGGGCATCCCCTCCAAAACCTCCTGCTCCTCTTCATCACAGTTGGGGCTTGTTCTCTCTATAATACTGATCCAAAATTCATTACTGAGCATCCAGCCCCTCTTTCTCTATTCAGCAGCCAGCTTTAGTTACCAGGCCACGTGAGCTGTGATGTTCATTTTCATACACATAAGGAAGTAACAGCGTTCTCTCCTTTTTTTCCCTGGTTGCAGGATGAATTTAGGGAACCTGGCCAGGAAGGTTCTGTCGATTTTCCAGAATGACTGTGTCCAGCAGTACCAGGAGGCCCTGATCCTCCACAGCAGCAGGATGAGGTACCAGCCCTCTCTGGGGGTCTGGGGGCTCTGAATTTGGGACCCTGGTGTGGATGGAAGAGGGGACTTTCCAGTAACCCACTTACTCTGCCCCTTTATTATTTAAAGTTTATTTTTTAAAAAAGCCCCTAAACCTGCAGCTCGAGCCCAAGCAGCTGTTTCCTCGGAGAGGTTATTTTATCAAGACAAAATTTGTGTTGAGACAAAGAGATCTACTTACTGGGAATGATCTTCTGTTCAATGGTGCTCGGGGAATAATGCAAAGAGCAAATTACCCTGCAGTGATTGAGGGCAATCCACTGGCTATGGCAGCAGCAGAGAGCAGGGAGGAGGAGGCAGTAGGGAAGAGGATGGTGCAAGGAAAAAAAAAGCTGCTTCGTGTTTTCCTGGGGTATTTTTGTACCTGTTTTTCTGTCCTCAGGGAGAAAGCATCGTGAGTCACACACAACTGGGATATTTTTAATTTATTGTTACTTCGGTTCTAATTGTCCTGTTTTGGGTTGTTTCCCGCCAGGGTTTGCGGTGTGGTGGCTGGTTTTTTTGGGGACTGGAGGTGGATCATTCACCTGAAATATTCTTTCCTTTGTTTTTTTTAAAGCCAAAACAATTTTTTTTTAAATATACAACTCATGATGTGCCTGTTGGGTGTTGGGTGCAGGACCAAGGAGCTTTTTTGGGTAGATTGGCAGCCCTCCATGGGACACAGAGGACCATCCTGTGCAGAGCTGCTGGCAAAAGTGATGGGCCTGAGCTGTCTCTCTTACAAGCAGCACTTTCCCTAATTAATTTGCTATTAGTGCTGTTTGGATAACCTGGACGTGGTGGCTGCTAGCAAAGCTGCAACTGTAATTCCAACACTGCTGTGATTCACTTGCTTTCCTTCAGGATTTTAACTTGGATCCAGAAAGGTCTGCAGAAAGCAGTGCAGAGTTAAAACACATAAAAAAATTAATGATCCCCACTGATGCCAAACACTGACTGGAACTTTCGTTGTGTTTTTGCTTTCTAGGAAAGTTTGTGAGATAAAGAAGCACCTGAAGAGGCTCAGCAACCGCATCAGCACCTGCAGCGTGGAGATGATGGAGTGCCAGGACTGCCTGCAGGGTGTAGGTGTCCCTGGGGTCCTGCCAGGGATGCAGCTCCACAGTCTCTCCCTGCTCCCTGACGATGTTTCTGCTCCCCTCTCCCACCTCCCACGGGGTGCAGGAGCACCTGGGTTAAATAGGGAAACCCTGGAGTGTTTCTAAAGAGGGTTATTTTATTTTGTTTGTCCTGGAGAAGTGGACGTGCTGGGTTGTGGTGTCACCTCCTGGGTGTTTATCCAGGCAGGCACTGCATCCCCCCGGGGTCAGACCCCCAGACAGCCCCTGCTGTGGGGGCTGCCAGATCTCTCCATCTCTGCAGGCTCTGGACAGGTTTCTCCAGATGGAGAAATGGAGTTTGGCCCCAGCTCCTCCCGTGCCTTCCCCTGTCCATCTGAGCCAGGAGATGGCTTTTCGGTGAGCCTTTTGGAAGTCTTTTGGAAGAGGGTTTTGGGCACAGCCCCAGCTCCTTGGGAAGGAGCAGAATCCCTTGCCACTCAGCCCCTGCAGTGGGGTGAGGGCTCTGTGTCCACAGGGCTGGAAAACTCTGTGCCAAGACCTGCTGGGTGAGATCCCTGGGGACATCCCAGCCCTTCTCCTGTGGGAAGCAGGGGCTGAGCAGCTCAGGAATGAGGGGCTGGTTGTGTCCCTGCAGGATGCAGGAGCTGCTGGAGCAGATGAGGTCAGTGAGCTGTGATCTCCAGTTCAACAACAGCATCATCGAGCGGTGAGTGAGAGCACCCAGAGATGCTCCAGGCAGGAATTCCTGCTCCTTGCACCAGGATGTGGGCACACCCCTGGGAGGGGGTGGGGGGTTCTGGGTGGGCTCCCTGGGAGCTCCAGTGTGGGAGCTGTGCCTGGTGCTGAGCATCGCCACAGTCTCTCGTGGGCTGGTTCAGTGGGGGTTTTAATATCCCCAAATTTACATCACGCTCTGGCAGCAGAAGAGTTTGTCTGTCTTGGAGGTTTAGCTGTGATCCTCTGCAAAGCTCTGTCATTTCTCCACCCTCTTCCCAGCCTTTTCCCCGTGCTGCCCAGCTGCTGCCTGTCACAGAGAAGTGGATGCTTTCTCCTTCTGTACGAAACTCTCTGTAAACCCAGTATGTAGTGCTGAAAACCCCCCTGATTTTCCTCCTCTGCAACCTTTCTTGATGGCTCTTGATGCAAATTGACAGTAAGAACGTGCAGATCAGAATGTCAGAGAGTTTAAAAAGAAAAAAAAAAAAAAGAAATCGGGAATTCACCCCAGCCCTGTTTTTATAGGACCAAGTGTGTTGTTGCAGCACATCCACTGTGAATGAGGGGATAAGAAAGCTGGTGTTTGCTTTCTGTATGAACAGCTCATCCCAGAAGACACGGGAACAGGTCCAGAGATTAGTGCCTGGCCCGAGCTGTAGTTTGGGATTGCCTGTGCCCAGGTGACCCCTCTCCAGCCTAAAGCCTTTGGTTTTGTCCCTGCAGGTTGGGAGGGGCTGCCCCCACCCCTGGCGTTTGAGGGACGTGGTGAAAAGCGCAGCTGCTGAAGCGAAACCACTTCCCACCATTGGGAAATGCCAGCACTTGGGGAGCCATCGGGCACTGGTGTTTGAGGAGCTCTCTGTGTCCTACCTCTCTGCCCCAGCACTTTTGCACGTTCACCAGCATTAGCTCTGAGTACCTCGAGCCTTTGGAAGTTTGACCAGACAACTGAGTGGGGTTTTATTTCTCTTTATTTTAAAAAGTGCTTGAAGGACTCCGTGGTTTTCTGGCTTCTCTGTATCACCACGTCAGATGAAGAAGAGGCTAGACTTTTTGTCTTCTTACTTATTAAGGGATTATTCCCACTTCTAACGGGGAGGAATTCCTTCCTAATATCCTAAATAATACATGGGGACAAAAGGCAAAACGATGCATCCCTGGAGCTGAACATCCTGAGTCTCAGCAAGGGAACCAAGGGAACAAGGAGCAGCAGCAGCTGCAGGGCTGTGCCAGGTTTGACTTTCTTGTAGGAACACGCCAAGGGTGCCCAGGAGCTCCCTCCGCCCAGGAAACCTTCCCCGGTGGAATTTGGCACCAAAACCTCCCCGTGTGTTTTCATTATAAAAACCAACATCCTGAATGTCAAACCCATCTATTTACCGTCGAGAGGTGGAACTGAGCCATCGCTTAAAAGCTTTTCCCCTACAAATGATTTTCTAGGACCCTCCTGGTTTTCTAATGAACGTGATTTTTTAATCCAGCTCGAATTCACTGATATTCCCTGTAGGAACAGGGCAGGGAGCCCAGGCAGGGTCTCCTGCTGCACTTCCTTGGATTCAGTGGAGCTGCACTGACTCGCACCAGCTGAGAGTTTGACCTGGAACATGTTTGGCTTCCACAGAAAGGGATTTATTTCTTGGCAGAAAGAAAAAAGAGTTTTTGCTAATAGCCCTTGTCATGCTTAAACTGCTGTAACACAGCAGCTGCAAAGGGGACTCCTGGAATCCAAATGAAACGGGAATTTTCCTGCCAATGTTAATTAGTTGGGTGGTTCCCACCCCCACCCCCCCCTAATATTTTAACCCATGGCCTAAAAGAGCTTCATGTGCTGAATACCTGCAGATGATAAGGATAAAGGCAGGTCTCTTGTGCAGGTTTGAGCCCCATCTTCCTATGGAGACAGAAAATATTACATTTATTTAGTATTTATGTGCCCTGATGCTGCAGGATGGAGACTGAAACTGTGTCACAGGATGGCAACGAGAAAACAAAAGTCCAGAAGGGCTTTCTCAGGTTCCCAGCCAGGTGCCAGGTAGATCTTTGCCCTCAGGAAGGTAATTTCCTTTCTTGGAGGTGATTCCTGATACAATTAACAGTCGGAGGAGAACATAGGATATAACTCCAAGGTTTTGTGAAACAATTTACTGAGCAGTAAATCTGCTGCTGTACTCAGGCACAAGCAGAAGAGGCATGAAAGTGAATCAGGATCCTGAATGGGGAAGAAAAAAACCTTCCAAAAATTAATCTTACTGCTTAGCACAGAATAAAGCTGGAATTTTCCAAGCTGCATTATTCCTCCTTCGGTTTGAAGCTCTTATTAGGGGCTGCTTATGGCACTAGTCTGCTGTAATTCAGAGCCAGTGTTTTAATCCACCCTTTAAATTAGAATCCTTGAAAAGGATTTAGATATCCTTGGCTTATCCTATCCCCAGGAGTGCACGGGAGATGCTAAATTCAGCTTCCCACGAGCCCAGAAGGCAGGATTCACCCAGCCCAGCTCTGTGCTCGCTGCAGACACCTGGAAACCAAAGAAATTTGGGGACAGTTCTGGCTGTATTTCAAACCAATACGAGTGAGAGCAGCAGAGAAGGGCCAGTTTCGTCCTGCACGGCTCGGGGTGATGTGTCACCCTCTCTGTACTCTGGGCTCCACCCCGAGGCGGGGAAGGGGTTGTGGTGACAGGGACCTTCACATCATCTGCGACACCCAGCCCTGCCACTCAAAGGAGGGAGTCACTTGGAGTGGCCCCAGGTCCAGCCACTTTCATCTGTGCCCCCCAAACCCTCCTTTGCCCAGGGCAGGGCTGTGCCAGCAGCTCCGCAGGCGCCGCTGTCCCCTGAGCAGCAGCGCTGGAGCCGCTGCAAAATTTTGGCCACAACCTTCCCCATCTCCCACAACCACAGGAGCCTCAGCGGGGGGAGATAATTCCCCTCGGCTGTCCCTGCAGCGGGGAGAGGGGATCCAGCTGCCCTTACAGCCCACTCGTGATCCGCCTTATCCCGTGGGGACAAAGCCTGGGAAGGGCTGCGCTCCGGCAGCAGCGCTGGGGAAAGCCCCCCACTCCGCTTCGTGCTGCGGGACCCCCCCCGGGTGGGGATGCCCAGAAACACCCGCCCCGGGACATTCCAGACCTCTTAGGGGTGCCCGTCCAGTGGAGAGAAGTACCCTGGGAGTGGGGATTCCCACGGGGGGAGGCTATTGCGGGGAGATTCCCGCGGGGAGGAGGAATCCCACGGGGAGGAAGCATCGCACAGGGGGTCCCAGGGCGAAAGCTGCGGGGGGGGGTCCCCACGGCCCCACAGGGGCCGATCCCGGTCCCCACCCACCCCCGCCGTGTCTCCTCCCTCCCGGCCGGTCCCAGGCGCCTGCGCTGCCCCGCTCCTGCCGCTCCGAGCCCATGGCATCGCCGGCCGTGGGGCCGTGCCCCCGCCCGCTGCCGCCCCCCGTGCCCACCCCGATGCGCCGGGGCCCCGGCGCGCCCACCCCGGGCAGCCCCTGCGGGGCGCGGGGGGCGCGGCGGCTGCGGCGGCGCGGGGGAGCCCCGCGGCTCCTGCCCGACGTGCGGAGCATCTTCGCGGCTCCGCGGGACCCCCCCGAGCGAGACCGCGGCCACCGCTTCGCCCCCCGCCTCCCGCGCCGCGGCTGGTGCGACCTGTGCGGGGAGGCGGTGCGGGAGCGCGCCCTGCGCTGCGACTGTGAGTGCTCGAGCCCTGCCTGCGCCCTGCCTGCGCCCTGCCTGTCCCCTGCCTTCTCCTGCCTTCTCCTGCCTTCTCCTGCCTTCTCCTGGCTGTCCTGCACCCCTGCCCTGCCCGCATCTCCTCCCGGTGCTGCCATCCCGCATCCCTCGCTCTGCCCGCGCTCCTGTCCGGACTCTGTCACCCGGACCTTCTCCCTCCCCTTCTCCCAGCTCTGCACTCCCCCGGACTCCCACTCCGGGTCCCCCCGCCTTCCCCGGGTGGGTCGGGTATCCGGGAGGGACCGGGTGGGGGTCTCCGGGTGCGGGCGGTGGGCGCGGAGCTGCCGGGCGGGTTTGGGAAGGGAAGCTTTTCCAGGAAAGAGGAGATGGTCAGCTCATGGGTGGGGTTGGCATCGCGGCGAGCAGGGAGGGCTGATGTTTGTAAAGCTTTATGGTGAGGGGTAAAGTCCTCTGGAATGACTAAATTTGCCTGAGGCTTTGCCCAAACTCCAGGGGAAAGAGTGTTCCTGCCAGTGAGGTGCCAGTCTCATGTGAGATACGTGCTGTGCCGGTGCTCTTGTTAGACAGGAGAGATTCATCTTTCCATCGTGTGGGATGGAAGGAGGGCCCGAACGAGGTGACCCAGCCGGGGCCGTGTCCCATGTCCCAGGGTGCTGCTCTGGGTCCCTGGAAAGGTGTGACCAGTGTTAGTTGTTGCAGGGGGGTAAAACGAGGAGGTTTGAGCAGACCCGTGTCAGGGATAACTCGGTAGCGTGTGCTGTGCTCTCTGCTGGCCATGAAACTGCTCCTTTCCAGCTCGGTCCCTCAGGCTGGAGGGAAACCTCTCTCAGCACAGAGCTGAGGTGCAGCACTTGGGCTTGGGGGACTTGGAAATTTGCTGGACGGGGTCAGCTGAGCCTCTCGATTTTTGCAAAAGTTGTTAGTGCTGATGCCACTCACAAAAAAACCACCTATACCTGCATGGGGATACCCTTAAGTGTCGGTGTGGAGGGCAAGTAGTTGGTGCTGGTGGTAATTTGGGAAAGATCCGTGTCCCACCGTGAGCTCAGGGCTGCCCGGAGGAGGCGTCGCTGCTCATTTTTGGGTTTGTTTGGGGGGGGTTTATACCGGGCACGTGCTGCAGCACCACCAGCCTCACCGGGGCAATTAGGGCCTCGCTCAGCCAGTTCTGGTCCTTACGCTTGGCTTTCCTTAGATTACGAGTCAATTAAATGTTTCTGGTGGTGATTTGCATGGCGCGGTGCGAGCAGGGCTCTCGCAGATGCCTCCTGGTGCCGTTTGGGATGAAGGGCAATTGGGAGCGACAGTCGCACCATATGGCCCTGCTGCATCGCATTAAGGGTTTAGCCCTGACTGCTGTTAATTAAATGTAACCCAGCCGTCCCCACAACGTGACACGGGGACACGCCGGGGCCGGGGAACTCGCTGCGTGGGGCGTTGTTTGAATGAGGACGATGTAAATCTGTTTTCTGGGGTGCACCTTTGCTTTCTGCCTGCTGTTCCTGATTAACTCCCTCAAACCCCGGTAAGGGCCAGATTATCACCCTTGGGGGCTGCAGCTCAGCTGTGTCTGGTGCACTGGAGCAAACGTGTGAATGGCCGTGCTAAAAGAAATCATAGAATCATAGAATAGATTGGGTTGGAAAAGACCTCCAAGATCACCAAGTCCAACCCCTGATCCAACTCCAATTACTATATCATGGCACTAAGGGCCACATCCAATCTCTGCTTAAAAACCTCCAGGGATGGTGAATCCACCACCTCTCTGGGTAGGCTGTTCCAATGCCTGATCACCCTCTCCATAGGGAATTTCTTCCTAACATCTAACCTAAACCTCCCCTGGCAGAGCTTGAGCCCATGTCCCCTTGTCCTGTTGTTGGTTGCCTGGGAGAAGAGACCAACCCCCCCCACCTGGCTATAACCTCCCTTCAGGTAGTTGAAGAGAGTGATGAGGTCACCTCTAAGCCTTCTCTTCTCCAGACTAAACAACCCCAGCTCCCTCAGCCTCTCCTCATAGGACTTGTGCTCAAGTCCCTTCACCAGCCTCGTTGCTCTTCTCTGGACCCGCTCCAGCACCTCAATG